TTTATATTTTTTTATTTTACATATTATTCTTATTTTATTGTATTATTTTTATTTTACTTTTTTAAAATGTAGTTTTGTTTACTAAACTTTAGTTTAGTTTAAATTGTAGTTTAATTCACATATTTTTCCATTAATTAAGTCCAGGGTTGCTCACTTTTTTCACTTTTCTAAACAATTATTTATTTGTTTGTAAGTCAGTAAATAAATAAATAAATAAATAATTGAATAAATAAGTAATTGTTGTGTTTATGTGAGAGTAGGCAATATATGTTTATACACATATTTACCTTTGTTTGAATTGTCTGAATCAATTCTTTGTGGGAAGAGTCTTGAAGGATCCTTCGTGTCTTGTTGTGTGTCTCCAGGAAAATACATCTTCTCTTTAAAAACCCTCCAGTTTGAGAGCTTTTGTCGAGCGATAACAGAGAAGTTCAGTGATCTGTTCTGGGATCAGAAGCTGCTGTGTGACCTGCACCGTCTGATCAACCAGAACTCCTGCCGACAGTGAGCATCAGCCCAGATCTTTACCCGCTTTATCATCTGCCAGACAAGTCAAATAGATGTGTCCTTATTTAAGAATAATTAGATATTTCTACTGGAAAGCCAGACAAAAATACTAAGAAGAAAAATCCTATTATTATTTATTTATTTAGAAAAAAACATGATAAAAAACTTAATTGAAGATACACAGTTCTGCTTAAGTAGATTTTTCTTGTTGTAAGGAAGTTTAGAAATACATGAGAAAAATACAGAAAAAAAATTGCATTCTAGAGACAGAAAACAAGACGCTTACCAATTAATGAAATAAAATCTGCCAATGAATTAAAAAAAACCCACTTAATTCAAGATATGTATTATCTTACACAGTTTTGTTTCTTTTTTTAGTAGATTTATCCTGTTATAAGGACGTTTAGAAAAAAACACAAGAATAATGCAGATTAAGAAAATAGTTTTTGAAGTACAGATACAGAGAGCAAAGCAAATAATAATAATAATAATAAACCGACTACGAAATAAATAAAATCTGACATTTAATTAAAAGAAAAACTTTTAATTCAAGACACATTATCTTACAGTTTTACTTCTTAAGTTAATTTTTCTTGTTTTTAGAGAAAAAAACAAAAATATAGATTAAAAATATTTGTATTATACAGATACAGATTGTAAGGCACAAAATAAATAAATAAAAATACAAATGCACGAATGAATGAATAATAGATTGATTGTTATTGAACAGCTCACATTCAGGTTTGTTTTTCTGAAATGCACAACAGCCTGTGACTTAGAATTTTAATTTAAATAAATAAATAAATAAATAATTGAATAAATAAATAATTGTTGTGTTTATGTGAGAGTAGGCAATATATTTTTAGACACATATTTACCTTTGTTTGAATTGTCTGAATCAATTCTTTGTGGGAAGAGTCTTGAAGGATCCTTCGTGTCTTGTTGTGTGTCTCCAGGAAAATACATCTTCTCTTTAAAAACCCTCCAGTTTGAGAGCTTTTGTCGAGCGATAACAGAGAAGTTCAGTGATCTGTTCTGGGATCAGAAGCTGCTGTGTGACCTGCACCGTCTGATCAACCAGAACTCCTGCCGACAGTGAGCATCAGCCCAGATCTTTACCCGCTTTATCATCTGCCAGACAAGTCAAATAGATGTGTCCTTATTTAAGAATAATTAGATATTTCTACTGGAAAGCCAGACAAAAATACTAAGAAGAAAAATCCTATTATTATTTATTTATTTAGAAAAAAACATGATAAAAAACTTAATTGAAGATACACAGTTCTGCTTAAGTAGATTTTTCTTGTTATAAGGAAGTTTAGAAATACATGAGAAAAATACAGAAAAAAAATTGCATTCTAGAGACAGAAAACAAGACACTTACCAATTAATGAAATAAAATCTGCCAATGAATAAAAAAAAAAACACTTAATTCAAGATATGTATTATCTTACACAGTTTTGTTTCTTTTTTTAGTAGATTTATCCTGTTATAAGGACGTTTAGAAAAAAACACAAGAATAATGCAGATTAAGAAAATAGTTTTTGAAGTACAGATACAGAGAGCAAAGCAAATAATAATAATAATAATAAACCGACTACGAAATAAATAAAATCTGACATTTAATTAAAAGAAAAACTTTTAATTCAAGACACATTATCTTACAGTTTTACTTCTTAAGTTAATTTTTCTTGTTTTTAGAGAAAAAAACAAAAATATAGATTAAAAATATTTGTATTATACAGATACAGATTGTAAGGCACAAAATAAATAAATAAAAATACAAATGCACGAATGAATGAATAATAGATTGATTGTTATTGAACAGCTCACATTCAGGTTTGTTTTTCTGAAATGCACAACAGCCTGTGACTTAGAATTTTAATTTCAGTCACATGACACCTTCTCAAAAACACACACATCCACTTCCGCTGCATTTATCATCAGTGATCAGGCCAGAATCGTTTCAGAAACAGCTGTTGGTCTCTATGCAAACAGAAGGGTCCTCAAGATCAGGAACAGACACAGCACTCACGTCACATGAAGCCAGAGACACACAATAGTCTCTTTCTCACAGCGGATCACATGCGGTCCGTTCCGTCTCTGGGTGTTACAGACGCGCTCTGCATGCTGTCCGATCCGGCTCTGGGTGTTACAGACGCGCTCTGCATGCGGTCCGATCCGGCTCTGGTATCTTGAATTAAGTTTTTTTTTTTTTATTGTCACATTTTTTATTTAGATTGTTTATTATTTTTGCATTGTTTTCTGTATCTCTAGTGCAAAAAAAAAAAAACTTGACCTGTATTGTTGTTGTGTTCTCCAGTAAAATTATCTAAACATCCTTAAAACAAGATAAATTACTTAAAGAGCAAAACTGTTTAATAGATAATATACTGTATATTGAATTGTTTTTTTAATCCATTTGTTTTTTAAGTTGGATGTTTTTTAAGCATAAATCTCACAAAAATTGTGTTAGCTTTTGATTTATAGATATTTTACTGGAAAACAAGACAAAAGTGCTGGTTGACAGATTTTTTTTTCTACAAATAATAATTTTCCTAATCTGTATTTTTTGTCATGTTTTTTGTGAACATCCTTTAAAAAAAAGCTAAATCTACTTAAGCAAAACTGTAAGATAATGTTTCTGAAATAATTTTTTTAAATTAATTTGCAGGTTTTATTTATTTAGTTAATCAGTAGATTTTTTTAGGGGTCTGGCTTTCTATATCAGTACTGAAAATTTTTTTTTTTTAAATTTGTATTTTTGTTGTGTTTTTTTCTAAACATCCTTAAAACTGGATAAATGTACTTAAGAAACAAAACCGTGTAAGATAATACGTCTTTAGGTGTGTGTGTGTGTGTGTGTGTGTGTGTGTGTGTGTGAGTGAGTGAGTGAGTGGGAGTGAGTGAGTGAGTGAGTGCGAGTGAGTGAGTGAGTGAGTGAGTGTGAGTGAGTGAGTGAGTGTGAGGGAGTGAGTGAGTGTGTGTGAGTGAGTGAGTGAGTGTGTGTGAGTGAGTGAGTGAGTGAGTGAGTGTGTGTGTGTTTTATTCATTGGCAGATCTTAGTTAGACAGTTTATTATTGTTTTGACCTTGCTTTCTGTATCTGTAGTGCAGAACAATAATTTTCATAATCTATATTTTTGTCATGTTTTTAGATAAAATATCTAAGCATACAAAAAGATAAATGCACTTAAAAAGCAAAACTGCAATATTTAATATTTTAAGTTAAGTTTTTTTTAATCCATTGGTGGATTTTTTATTTTTATTTCGTTGTATTTTGAGCATAAACCTCAGATTTTGACGTTTAGATATTTTACTGGACAATGTTGCACTGTGCTGTGCTGTTTTTATCTATTCGCTGGCTTTGCTCAGATGCTTTGAGCTGTTTAATGTTCTGTCTCACAGATCTCTCTCTCTCTCTCAGCGTCTCTGATGAACAGCCCTCCTCAGAGGCAGTGAAAAGGGCAGCAGCGTCGGTCCAGAGCGCCAGACAGTGTTTGTCCAGCGAGGAAAACGCTCATCTCGACCACAATGCAAACCTCTGGCCCTCAGATCGACCCGCGCCAGAGGACAACCAGCTGAACGAGATCAAGAGAGAACCGCTTAAATACAGAGAAACAGCAGATGGACAAAACCTAGAGCATACGGGATCTGAGACCAGGACCGCATGCTGGAGACGAGACGCACAGGAAGTGACATCAGAGGATGACACCAAAGGTAGGACCGCCTCCTGTCATCAACTGATCAATCATTCATCAAAAAAATCTGCCATTCAATTCTAAACCACTTTCCTTTTCTGGAAAGGCTGTGCGGGTTATTAGTTATTGTCAGCCAATAATAACTATTTAGTCATTGTTTTAGGTTACTTTTGTAGGTGACGCAGCCTTTCTAATATCTTGTTCATATAGTAAATTAATAATGGTTTATAAAGGAATAGTTCACCTAAAAATTAAAATGAACTGAAAAAGTGCTCACCCTCAGGTCATCCGAGATCAGGATGAGTTTGTTTCTTCATCAGGTTTGTAGAAATGTAGCGTTGCATCAGTGTCTCAGCAATGGATGCTCTGCAGTGAATGGGTGCCGTCAGAATGAGAGTCCAAACAGCTGATAAAAACATCACAATAATCCACAAGTAATCCACAGCACTCCAGTCCATCAGTTAACATCTGGCGAAGACAAAAGCTGAAAAAAATCCATTTCCATTTGCACATTATCACATTTTCATTTTTGGCTGAACTATTCCTTTAATGTATTGAAGAGTATGGCAACAACAGGAAATGAAACATTTAAAATATTTAGTTTTACTCAGATGGACATTCAGTGCTGTTTTATGTTGACTTCAGTATCTCTGTTCTGTTGTTATAGTCTGATTAGTGTTTAGGAGTCAATAAAAGTCAATGAAGTTTTATAACTTTGATTGACAGTTGAAAGCAAATGTAAAAGAGCGAGTGTTTTTCAGCGCTGCCAGACTCACTGAGAGCTCTTGGTGCTTGTTAGTGGAAGTGAGTTGCCAGGAAACTAAAGCAGATGATGGGAGTTTTCATCCCGTCTGTCGCCAAGCGCTCTCCTTTCTGCTCGTTCCAAACACTCGCTGTGATGTTTTCCTTCGTCTTTTATGGTCTTTGTGCTCCTGCTCATCACACACTCACACTCACACACACACACACACACGCACACGCTCACACACACACACGCACTCACACACACACACACACACACACACACACACTCACATTACCCATGGGGACCTCAATTTAGGTCCCCACCGTGACACGAGTCCCCATGAGTCTGTGTGTAGTCAGGTTTAAGTCCCCACCAGAATAGAAAAACAGGTACACACACACACACTCACAGCAAACTGCAGGTGTAAATCACACACAAACACGTCCCAGTCCAAAACTAGAAGGAACAAATAAGGAAATAGAAAAGAGAAGTCTGTCAATACAAAATATGATGTCTTGTTTGAAAGTTAGCATAGACAGATATTCAGATGGACGGATGGATAAATTAATGGTTGGATAGATATTTAGATAGATAGATAGATAGATAGATAGATAGATAGACAGACAGACAGACAGACAGATAGATGACAGACAGATAGATAGATAGATAGATAGATGACAGACAGACAAATAGATGACAGACAGACAGACAGACAGATAGATAGATAGATAGATGATAGATAGATAGATAGATAGATAGATAGATAGAT